GAGCTGGAGCCAGAAGAGACATAAGGAACATCAGGAAGATCTACAATGCTGTTTTAATCAACAGCGCATCTGCCGTCATCCCTCTCCAGTTAATACAGTAATAAGAAAGAAAAAAAAGAAAAAAAAAGAAAAGGGAAATGAATTCTGCTTTGTCTTGCATCACATATTCCAAAAACTGTGCCCCAAGACATCATATCAAAATTTGCAGAAACAATTACAAAGCAACATGTTTTGGAGACCCATTGCATTTTAAGTCACTTAGTTAAGTCAACTTCAACATACTCGGCTTTTAGCAGCAAACAGAGCCAGGTACCAGTTCTGTCAATTATTCTTTGAAGCTACTTTAAAAGGGCAGTGTTGGTCTTGCTGGTTGGATTTGACTTCATTCAGTTCTAGTACTGCATTTCAGACACGGCTGAGAGCAGGAAGAGATGAAGAGAACAGTAAAGCAGCTAGGTGGCATAGGAGCTCAGCAAACCCGGCCAGGAGGTGGGGACCCGCCTGCAGGAGAGTCCCCGGTGCTGCTCCTGCTGAGCACACCAGGATAACGATGTTTGGTATCAAGCAGCCAGCGTCCCTCTCACTCCGCCAGGATCATCTTTGGGGGGCAAGGTGGGTAACTAGTTTAACCCCTACCAACCAGAGCTCCCTTTCCACTTTCTAAGCCTGCTGCTAGTCAAGTTCCAGGAGGTACAGACACCCCGCCTGAGCCAAAAGCTCCTAGTTTGGCCTTATTTCACATAGGCAAGTCTGCTGACACTGGCCCTGCTGCCTTGTGCAAAGAGCTGTGAGCCAGACCAGTTCTTGAGCTTTTTTTTTTTTTTTTAAATCATGCAGAACAGAAACATGCCAGAAAGACACACTTCTGTCTCTGCATTCATGGTCTCTAGGCTGGCTTAAAGAGTACCCCCTTCCCTTGTGTGGTGTGACTGCTTCATATTTATTCCAGCAAATGCCAACTCTGAGAAGGGTTTCTCCTTGTTTGTCCCCAGTATTTCACAGAGGCAGCAGACAGGTCAAGGCTGCAGACGTGTGGAGAGAACACAGACAAGTTGATCCAGCAGCAAAATGAAACAAAATTGGAGAAGTCGAGAGACTTCAGAAAGCCGAGCAGTTTGAAATGCGTCCATGGGAACTTCAAAGCAAACACCGAACCCAAACCCAGCAGGCTGTCCTGGAGACTGATTTAAGAAAAGGCCGAGCGGGGATTTTAAGGCACTTTGCAGCAATTTTCCTCAGTTTACCACAGTGCAATGCTTCCCCTTGCAACCGAGTCCCCAAAGAGCTCTGTTTGTAGGATCTCTGCAACGCCACAGCTACGCATAAAGAAATACATCTGCTAGGCCCTCACATGACCACGAGCAGCGGCTCGTTGGAGGGCAACTACGGACTTGGCAGAAGTTGAAGGCCTGAAAGACCTGCTCCTGAAGGTCCAGGGAGCAGGAGAGTGACCACATCTTTCCGTGGAAGTGACAGACTGAAATCCAATGGCTTTTAAAAGCATTTAGTTAAACTGAAATGCAGGCCATCTCTGTGGAATTTAAAAGGAGTGCTTTATTCTGCTTTAGCTTTAATCTCTTCCTAATCAACTTAAGACAAATTTATCTTAAGCCAGATTTACATCTGTTAAGAAGGATCCATATAGCCTTTTCCTCCAGAATTGCCGTATTGATTTTACGGAAGCATCCACTACTTTAAATGGGTGGAACAGTTTCTAGAAACCAACTGAAGACCAAAGAACAAGCCAATTATTACAGGTATTCATTAACTCTCCTCCAAGAAGTAGGAAGCTTTAAGATACACCTCACCTCACAGCAGGGAGGGAAAGATTAAGGATTACAAAACTAGAACTTCGTCACAGGCCATGCCCCTTGACATTGCCTTATGCACAGTGACATGAATACGGGACCCTGGGAGCCGCCAGCGATGTTGGACGCATTGAGTCGCTCTGAGCGAGAGCTGCCTCAGGAGTCGAGCACAGCATCAGCACGTAAAACAGCATCCAGAGATTAACTGCTGTCCCAGTTTCTCGTAATTAAGCAAGATTAACACATAGATAGTCCCAGCAGCCACCAGTATTAGTAGCTCAGATTTGTTAGATCAAGTGGCTGAGAGAGGTTTGGGCAACAGCAATCGCCTTTAACAGCACTCTTGAAGTACAAATTCTAGTAATTTATGTGCTTCAAACCCCTTTGTTATATACACTGTACCACTGCTGTTCACGTGGCATTTAAATTTGCAGTACAAGATGAGCTCTCAAAGGACTTGGTGCTTAAGGCTGTTTTACACAGGAGTCCTGAGCATTCAGCCAGTTCTGTACTGGGCTTTGACACTGGTTTACTTAAACTGGGGTTGAAGGTGAGGGATTGGGGACGAAAGGGATCAGGGCAGAAGGGACAGACAACCAAGGACTACAGATCTGTTAGAATATGGATTATGGGAGTCTCAAGGTAGAAGCAGCCGTAAATTTAAACTTTTGTCAAGATGGCAGAAATAACTACTGCAGTTCTTTGTACTCGCAGCAATAGATGTTGTTCCCTAAGCATTCCTACACCTCTAAAACTGCAGGACACTCACACTGGAAGGGGAGAAGAGGAAGGAGAAGCATTCTTTGCTCTGGACACATGGTAGTTTGCATCCTCACCTCACCAGTATTCAGCATATATTCAGTTCAACACCCATCACACCTGTTATGCCAAAGAAATTTAAAAGAAGTTTCAGCCACAAATAGCAAATATTAACGGATCTAACTTCACTGATTCAGAGTAATGATCGCCACAACGACTTCCACAATAGCGGAAGTTACTTTTCTTCCCACCCAAATTTATATTCACATCTCAGTTTTTTAATTTAAAGCTGAACAATCAGTGCCTGGAAATCAAAACAAGTAGAGATAAAATGAGTTCTAGGAACAACTTTGAGCCAACAGGTTTGGCACAGAATCAAACCTCTTAAACATCCAGATCTGGGAGAAGTAGGAAATAATTAACAAAGAACTTACCAGCTTGCAACAATCTTCCCTAACCAAGCCTGCAACCTCCTGGCTGCGCCCCCCGCTGCTCTGTGTTCTTACACAGGATGTGTTCTTACACATTGCCACCTTCGCCAAGGCTTTTGATGGAGAAAAAGGGATAAACCTGCTCTTTTCACCAAAGATAGTATGAAATCACACACCTGTCTTCCACAATAACAGCATTAAAGGAGTATTCCTTCCTCTTCCTTCCATTTCAACTAAATGCATTTTGAGACTCCTACTGAAGTAGAAGTATTCTTTACTGTCAAAGCTACATGGACACCTGATATTGACTATGACAACTGAAGTAGACAATAGTTTCATGTTATGGTATAAAGTTCTCCAAGGGTCTGAATCATTTAAACATGTTAAACATTTTGTAACCAAGGTACCAACTGCAATTTTAATCTGTAGAACCCAGCTCAGACACGTCTGCACTCAGCCATTTCCACAAAAGGAGTTGCCAAGCCCCAACTCGGTAAGAAGTTGTGGTCTATCATATCTGAAGAAGTTGAGATCAAGGTTAGTCTAAACCCATGACTCAAAACTCCATTACCATAACTTCAGGAAAAGACAGTTTGAATTCAACACAATTTACAACTAGGGAAGGGAAAACAGTCTTAGAATTGACCCTCAGTAAGATTTCATTTAGGAGAGAATTAAACAAGATCCAAACCACATTCACTTGATAAAGTGCCTGTTGGATGTTCTTAGGGGAACTCCCTCCCCAAGTCCAGCAGAATTACTCCTTAGCCTCCAAAGCAGAATTAGTTGTATTTCTTGAAAGGTGTTGAAGTCTGGTCTAATAGCGTCAACCTCCTACAAAGCTAAAAAACAACTGATCACTTCAATCTAAACAAGACTTAACAGGCTGCAAGGTGTTTCAGGTGGCTGGAATAGCATCAAGCATTTTGCAACCAGCGATCAAGTTCTTGGACTAAGTGCTGACAATGGATGAATGAAGAACAGCAACAAGACTTAACAAACATGATTAGTATTATCCAACTGCTTTGTTATAAATATATTATATACATTCAAACATCACATTAAAATATTATTCCATTACACCAGAAGAGATTAAGGCTTTATATTATTTACAGAAACAAGCAAGCACCTTAAAAAAAAAAAGAACAAAACACCAGTCATTGACATTTCCCGTCTAACATTACAAGTTTGATACTTGAGCTCTTGAATACAGCTATTTGCAATGTGCCCAATGCTAGAACTATTTTAAACATTTATTGTCAGGGTAGGAAATACTTAATAGAAGACTCATCAGCGAGCACTCCGCATGAACAAACGCGAGCATGTGTGTACTGGGTGCCCTCCCTCTCCTCAGAGGCTTGTTAACTTGAAGGCTTATGCAGTTAACGGTTTGCTCAATTCCACGTAGAGAGTAGAACAATTTTATTTTAAGGGAAACTGAAGACACTTGAGGATTCATGGCCCACTGGTGGAGTGGGATTCTCGAAGTCTGTTCCACATTATATCAATTAGATTTAACATGATAGCGAAGACAGAGCTGTAAGTTTATCAATCACTAAGTGCATCGAACAGTGATGATTTTAGGCTTCCATTACTCTGACACACTGTTTTCATGCAGTGTATTTGGACTCAAACACGAAGTGACAAACTGTTGTCACCATTCCCCCTACAGGTCTTAGGCAACAAGCTATTTCTGAAGTGTTAAATAATGTTGATACAACACATGTTTACTATGCCACCATATATCAATGGAGTGACTGTCCTGCCTTCTGGCTTGCCCGATAGCCTTATGAGATACAGTAATGAAGTATTTTCTAAGACGTAAGCAGACATGGCTAAATGAAAAGGTGCTCAGTAAGAGTAACCATCTTCATTTCAAGTATTGTTTTAAGAATTAGTTCTTTTCATTACAGTCTGTGTTAGCACTTTTTAGTTTGTGCTTTAGAGTCTGTTATTTCTTTGCAGGTCTTGAATTTGGCTGATGGCTTTTTTAAAAAAAACAAAACAAAACATTGGCAACAAGTTAAGGATTGCAGAAGGCTGGCAAAAGTTATTTAATTTTCTGAGCCCATTTCATGTCATCTGCTCTTGGCTTCTCCCCAGTAACTGCTTGGATAATGTTCTCCAAACACCTCCAGAATCTTATCTTCTCTAATGGATAGTTCAGCCAACCTAAGTGATTGCAAAGGAAAAAAAGGATTAGTTTGTCATACCATCCAAAGTTCAATGTTTTGCAATGTTTATTTAAGAACATTCTTTAAATTAAACACAAGGTAAATGTAAGGGGAGTTCAGAGGTGGACTGCTTTATGGCCATTGCAAAGCTATCAGAAAAGGGACCATCGAGTTGAATGATTTGTGTTAGAAGCAAGACATTTGTATTAGTAGCACCTTAGATTTAGTATTGAAATTTAAGCAACCAAACTAAAACCCCAACCCAACAATTTCAGCTATTTTTCCCCAATTAGTTCCCCCATCACCAAAGCCAGCTCGGCTTTTCCCTGTGTTTCTCATCAAGTAGTACAGCAAGAAAGTAAATACACACAATATGGCTCTGAAACCTCAAATACATGATCAATGCCATAGTTTCTAGAAAAAAAGAAATAATTAAAAAAAAAAAAAAAAATCAAGATTTCTGTTTGGGACCTAACCACCACTAAGGCTCAGCAAACTAAAAGTTTTTTCTTAAATAAAGCCTCAAGTTTAGACAGTTCCAACATCAATTTTCATTCTTAAGGTATTTAAATGTATTATGCTCTCCCTGGGCAAAATTAAAGTTTGCGTCACTGACTGCTAATGAAGCCTGTGATGGGGAAATCTTGTTGTAGTACCACGCTGCACTTAACGGTAGCTGACGTTGGACGCTTCCTGGATTAGAAGGGAGCACGGCCAGCAGCACACTCCCGAAGCTCTGCAACCCCAACAGAGCACTTCTGCTTCCCAGTAACCAGAACGGCTCTAACAGGTTGATACGGGGCGGGCTTTTACCATTTTATGTAAAAATGGCAATAAGTGCCGTCATGTTCTGCATGCAAGAGGAGTTTAATGCATCTTTCCTAGCCTACAGATTTAGGGTATTTTGAATGCTTTGTAGAAATGTTGCACTGGACAGTGTGAGGCTGGAACTCACAGGCTTAATAAGCCTCACCCTGAATTCAGAAGGGCTTTGTGTCTCGCTTTTAGGATATTAATTAGTACATTAATTGGATTTTCTGATACTGTATCTTGATGCCAACCTAACTACATATAACTGACAGGAGAGTGCACAAAGAGGCAATTTCACAGGGTTTTATTATATATTATATGTATATATGTATTATATACTAACTTTAGGCCTCTGTTTTATTAAATATTGTAAAACTAGGAAAAAAAAAAGAAATCAGCACCGGGAAATGTTATTTCCCTGCAGAAGTCTTCCGACAACCAGGAAGAGATGAATGTACACAGGGTTATATGAGTTATCCCACGCTTACAGAACTGTTCTGCAAGCACACGTTATACTTTACACCATGTACATTTCTGGAAAAGGGAAAAAAAGTGTAAGAAAACAAAACCAAAGGAGAGGCAGGAATGAAGAAGTTGTTACCACAATGGAAACAGTGAGCTAGCAGCAGCGGTTCATGTTAGAGGAAAGAGCTAAAACGCACGATAGTACGAGCAAGTCGGGAACACGGGAAAGCTGCCGCAGAGCCAGCTCTGCCGGGTCCGAGCACCCTCCCTACGGCGGTGAGACAGCCAGCAGAAGGAAAACAGCTGTTCTTGCTGGGGATGCCTTAGACTATGTGTGTAGCTATTATGGGTCAGAAATAATAAAGGGAGAGAACATTGGGGATATTCACTGCTGAAAAACATCATATTTCCAGAGAGCTAGATCATTCCTAATCAGGCACAACTACAGCTTTAACGATCTATCGAAACAGGCGCTGTTTTCAGCCACTTTCTGTATTGGATATGACCCTTCCAGCTCACCTGCGATCCTGCAGCTCCACTCAACTCACTGTATACTGATGCCCTTTAGGAAGTCAGCCCATGCAATTCTCATTAACACAGCCATCAACCCTCAAGGAATGGACGACTCCTTCCTGGTGCCTAAAAATGGCAGTCAGTCCGAAAGCTTTAACATTGGGAATGCCAGAAAGCTCTGTTATCTGACACCTTCCCTGGCAATGATACAGTGGCAGACCTTTACGTACACAGGTCAGCCCTGGAACCATGTACACTCTTTGGACTGGGCTGTCTACTCTTACGTCAAGTCACTAACAAGAGCATTACAATAACTAGTCCTATTTCTCTCAGTAAAGGCACCTTTTAAATAGCACACTGACTACGTATTTCTGTCCTCCTCCTCACTTCTACCCTAGAAGAAAGAGAATTAGGGCTGCAGAAACACTTTGCTCCACTGCAAAATCCAAGCATACAATCTATCATGCTGTGTTACGTCAGACTAGTGTGGTACAAACACTTACAGAAAGCATGGAGTGAATAGAAGCACATGCTTTTTTTTTTTTTTAATGAGAAAAAAAGCAACTAGTCCAAGACTGCTAATGATGGTCAGGCTTAAACTTTCAGGACATAGTAGGACTGAAAAAAGGCTCTTAGGGTGGCAAGATTTTTGCCATCATCTGTCAAGTCAGGCTTCTTAATTGTACTATGTTTTTACATGACATTCTGGTCATGAGAACTAGATTTGTTTCTCAGCAGAGATTTCAAAACTGACATAAATTGTTTGTCAAAGCTAATGACAGAATGAAGAACCAGAGTGGTTTATTTCCAGCTGTCTGATTAACCTGATAACTTATTCAAAATTGTGCAACATTGGTGACTGACTATACCTGCCTGTACAGTGGGCATAAAATTGAATATAGATATAAGAGGAACCTAAAGCCAGTTTTCTGCAAGCCTCTCCACTCCTCTGCCCCAAATCAGAATGAATGAAAGCTGAAAATCCAGAAGCCTTTCTTTAGAAATGAGCATTCAAGGTAAGGTGCACTTGCAGATGATGCTCTTTTGAAGGAACAGCAGCTTTAAGACTTTAATGAACAAAATCCATTACTAGCATGAGATTACCAAGATAACATGCAATCAGATATCCGTACCACTGACTACCCCGTCAGGCTGAAAGTTACCTTTTAGCTCATCATGAATCTTCCCCCCACATTTTTTATGCAACAAAAACAACTAAAGTTTTGCTAAGAGCTTGTGCAGCTAAGAACACGGTTAACTTCACCATGTAATTTTCTAGGTATTTAATAGGCTGTCACTAAATTATATCTTGCCAGGTGAATTGCACTAGACTACTAAAGAGAGTTTGCAGTATGAACCAGATGGCAGTACCAGTTGTAATGCAGAAGTATGTCTCATGTGGAGACACATGATGGATCCTGTGATGCTTCCGTGGCAGGATAACATGCCAGTCCTGTAGAAATATGACCCAGCGTGGAAGACCAAAGTACGTGTGAGACCACTTGTGAATCTGGTTCGTCATGGTTACGAAGATGGTAAGGGCAAAGACATAACACTCCCAAGGACATGTTTCATATAATGCCTCTGCAAAACAAGATGTTTATCTTTAAATACCATTTATGAAAAGGTAAATTTCTACTAAGAAAATGATGTCTTGCCCAGACAGAGCTGCCTGGTGCTGCAGGAACTAACAACAGCCTCAATGAAGCTCCTTTGGCAGAAGTGTCACAAGAGCCAGCGAGCCATAAGCAATTCCAGAATGTCACAAGACAGGCTGGTAAGTGCCAACGTCTGTCAAGTCGCCATAAACAGGAAGTTAAACTCTGATTTTATCATCTACAAAATTAAATTAATCCTTTAATTCTTGCACTTCTAGTTTGCAAATAAAGTACCCCTACACTGAGAAGAAGCATTTTTATACATTTTAGAACACTGAGTTTCCCTATATGCACAGTTTGATCCCTCTTATAAAAAGAATATTTACTGTAACTTCTAATGCTTCCTTGCAAGATTCTTCAGCCACAGATTCTCAATTACGCTAGAGAATCCAGCTATCCCACCTTCTAGTTGCTCCGCCTTCAGGGAAAAAAAAAGCTTCCCTCCCTCCTCCCAGAAGCACCATGCTTCCAACAGCTATTACTTGTCATTTCTTATTCATTGATTTCTCCTGGCCTTACACAGACAAATGTTTATTTAAATATCAACAAAAATGCTAAATCCACATAAGTCAGAAGTAACAGCTTACCTGGGGAAAAAGAAACAAATTTATATGCCATGTTTGCCAACGGGACTAGTGTCATAAAGCAGTTGTCTCCATTGGTCTCTATAAAATCATGTCTGGTAATTGCTGTGGGGTCAATATGATGTTCTCTAAAGGGTCTGATGAAAGCCTGAAAAAAAACAAATTGATAAACATGATAGGATGGCTCAATAATGATCTTGGAAAGAAAAATATAAAAAACCCAAAAAACCTTGCATGCATTCAAAACTGATGACTGAGTTTAAGAGAGTTCCATAGTACAAAGCATGTAAGCAGGATTCAAACTTTTGTGATGACAACACTTCAAATAATTTGATTTACATTTGCAAAACAATTCAGTTCCCAGACTCAAATCCAGTTTTTCATTGCTTTTCAGTTTTATTCTTCTTAATTTTCACTTAGGACCTTTAGTCTCTAGATCTCAAAAACAAAGCATCAGCATCCTAATTTCACAGACAAAATAAGCCTGTGAAATTCACAAATACAAGTCACTGGCTAAGCAGCATAAACCAAGAAAACACTCAAAAAATGAAAATTCAGCCTACAGATGACAGCATTAACAGACTAAGTGCAAGTTAAATGACTAGACAAACCAATGTAAGTCAAACAGACCATACAAAAGTCTCCTCTAGGAGTAGAAATCACATCTGAATACACAATCCCAGAGGAGACAGAGCAAATGTGGTAGGTAGGACTGGCACAGTAAAACAAGTATACTTATTTGCCTTTGCACATATATCATGTACAGTTTATGCAAAGGTGTCCTGATCAGTCTGAACTCGTTTATTTAGTGCATAGTCTCCTGCAGTGCTTTTTTTTTTTTTTGAACTATGGTCCAGAGATACAGGAATTCAAGGACTACTAAATCTGTTGAAGGTGAACAAAAATAAACCTAAAACCAATAGTCTTAATTCTGCTGTTCTAGTTCATATATTCCTGGATTTCTGGACTATTACAAGGATTATCCCATATACTTTTTTTTTAATAGAGGTCCTTCTAATATTGCACTGTAAGGAGTAATTGATGGTAGTTATGAAGTTTATTTTTAAATTATTTTAAAAAACAGATTATTGCTTATTATAGAAGTCAGTGCACCTTCCACTAAGCATCTGGCATTTGTAGCTGCAGATGTATAATACATCTAAAACCTAAATCTTCACTCATCACCGTTCTAATACTACTACATTTACAATAGGGGCCAGTAGCACAGAGAACTGGGAAGATTTCTTATTGGAACGTCTTCATGTTTTACAAGACAGCTTTTAGAGAGTTTAGCTACAGGAACAATTCTCCACATCCCTCTGTTTATCGGCCTTTTGGAAGACCAACACTACTCTAGCCAGGTTTCTACGCTTTTGGTGCCACAGGCCATTCCCACAGTACCTTGGGAAGGTCTGCGAACACTGGTATTGCAAAACTGTGTGCAAACCTTAAACAAGGTGATAAAATGGAACAGTGTCACCTTGCACATGTCACCTAGGCCAAGCATAAACATGGCACTTTACCAGCCATACACGGTGCCATTTAGTGGAGGAGGGTTCTGGGAGTGGGGGGAGCTGGTTACATTGGCAAGACTGCAAGATAGATACAGCTTATATACACTGTCCAACACAGCTGGGGATAGTGGAAGTGTTTCAGAAAAGTATTTTGTAACTTTTTCAAGCTTAAGGATAAGAATCTCTAACCTTTCCAACTATGGGTAACTCCACAGATCCCCAGGTATCTGCTCCCCAGTGAAATAATCCCGATAGAAAGTCAGCCGTAATAACTCCTGCAACTTGAACGAGGAGAGAGACAGTTAGATATACACAAGCATTTTTACTGACATATTCACATTTTATACTTGTTTTACAAGTTTACTTGTTTATCTACCTCTAACTTAGATATTTACAACCACATGAGATCTACCCAATCTGAACAAACATAAGGTCAGGCAAGTAGGAAAAAGAGGTTAACAAAACACCATTTGGACAGTTACAATCTTCATTAAATCTACAGCAAGATTTTGCATTTAACCCATCTTCTACAGAAGAGCTTGACAAACCTTTACAATTGCTGGTATGGAGAATACTAGTAAGTTAGAACTGAATCACTTAGATCTGACTACCCTCTTTTTCAGTAGTGTTTAACAGATTACTTGGCTATAGAAGAGCTGTTAAAGCCATCCCAACAGATAATACTATCTGCAGACCCTTCCTCTTCTCCCTTGGTCCCTTATGTCTGTAAACAAGAAGCACTGAACTCCAATGACTACAGGTAAGAACTAATTAAGAAGCCACTCCTGGGTTCAGCAATACTATTTACAAAATAAAATTGGAACATCAAACAACTTCCAGACATAGGCAAGGCCCCAGAAACCATGCTAACAGTTCTCTGTAAGGGACATTGTACACTTGCGATATTTGCATACAAAGTTAGATACACCATTAAACAGAGGTTGTTCCAACAAGTATAGAGATTTTTCTAGCTGCCAATCACAATAACTTTAAAACTGCTGTCTAGTAAAGGTGATTTTCAGTTCTTGCACGTAAAGCCCTATTTTTGCCTTCATGTTCTGGATAATCTACATATGCAAGTTTCTGGCTAATCCTGACATTTAAAAGTAAGAACGGAAGAGATGTTATTTGATCAGAACAGCTGTGTATTTTCCAGTTAGTCATAGATCTGTCAGATGGTGTTTAACAGACGCCTATCACTCTTCACCTGCAGAAGTCTTCCAACTCCCATGTTCCCAATCCCTTTAGAAGTCTCCAACACAGTTTGAGACACCCTCCTGCATGAGCTCTACTGTCAGGCTCTTTACGCTTTTGAGGAAGAAAATTCAGAGAAGATTGCCGAAGAAGTTCCCTTGGTTTTAATGGAGAGGCTGGGGGAATGTGGCATACAGCATAGCAATATGGCTACAGCAACACAGCAAAGAGCAAGATACTACCTTGGCACCTCTATACTTGAGGGATTTAGGACAGCCAGACCCTGCCCTTTAAAGAACAGAGACACTAAGAGGTACCAGTTCAAGCCCGCACATCTTGCTCTGAGCAGGTTTCAAGAGAGATTAACCAGGTCTGGATAGAGTCTAGATTTGCTGAAGAATGAACCAGACCAAGAATCAGGATCCTTTTTCACTGCAGTGCCATCCCTTCAGGTTAATAAAAATATCAGAAAGATCTTCCAGTTCGTTTTTTCTGAAATCGACCACCCAGTGAATATGTATACAAGCACACTTGGTGATTCCCTGCGAAGCCAGCATTCAGGCTCTGAAAAGGGAAGGCAGCACACACTTCTTACCTGCAGGTCTGGTTAAAAGAATTCAGCAGAAGCACGACCCAGATTTCAAAATAGCTTCTGCATACTGTGCAAATATGATATACCTGAGAATTGATAGCGCCTGATCTCAGTGCAAATGCCTCAAAATCATATATAAAGTTCATGCCAATTAAAGCACTATGTACCGATCTCGCATTCTATTGTTAAATGAGTCACAGCAACAGAAATACAGAGATTATGTGTTCAAAACATATGTTTCAAAGCAGCTCAGTTAGCAATTCCCTACTCTCATTTGGTGCTCAGAGCATAAGACACAGTCACTTACTATTGGCATGTCTGGCAGTTCTCAGAGAAGCCCGTGAGTCCACTCAAACCAGGGAAGTAGTCACAGGGCCAGGTCAGAGTGGCTGGAACATAGTTCTTTAGTTTTCCCCGCTGATATTTACAAAAATCGGGTTATTTACAGAAGTTGCCCATTGTAACACAGTCTTTGCACCAGAAGCAGCAGGGAATTGCACAACCAGAGGTGATGCAGGAAATTTATTTTTGCTCTGCCTGCCTCACCAACTCTTCTTCAGATGTCTGTGAAGCTAGGAGAATTCCTGGCTTTCTCCTCCACTAGCCAGCATTTGTTTCTCTCTGTGTCTGAAGACCTTCTTCAAGCACAGCATCTCATTTACAGAATTGAGGCTTTTTCTGATGGGCAGGTATCCCTCTGCCTGCTAAGATGTTAGGCAATTCCAACTCACTTGTAATCCAAACCAAAAGTTGGTTTAAAAGTTGGTATACTGGTTCATCTTGCGTTGACTCCAAGGCATCTTGTTACTCCTCCCTCTCACACAGAAACTTAAAAGCAATCTAAGATACGCCAGGAAACAAAACAACAAATGTGCATCTCTCCCCATAAATCACACAACTGTTATTTACCCTGGTCGTGATCTGGACTTTGCCCGATTTTCCTATTCCAATCAGGACACTTAGGTCATCTGCCTTGAGAGGCCAGTTTAATGAAGTTCTTGTAACATTAGCAGGATTGCTAAAAAGCAGGTAATTTTTAAAACGTGAAAGAGGACGAGGTTGCTCTGTTACTATTGATTAAAATGCACTTCATCTTCAGGGCACAGCAATTACCTATAGTGCATGCAACACAGCATACTTCAGATATACCCCTCCTCATGGTTATCTTTTGCTTAGCTGATCCCTCACCTCTACAGTCCATCACCTCGCCTTTCATTTTCAAAAAGGGAAAAGAAATAAAAATCAGGATTAGTGTGGCACCTACTACCCCGCAAGGCTTTTTCGTATTATAAATCAATCCCCACTGCTGAATCCATTATCTAGTTGGCTCAAACTCTTAAATACAGCAGGAGACACTTCATCCTTTATGTATCGCCTTATTGTACTGAAGACGGCTTATTTTTAAGCAGTAAATCCTGGACACTTGTTTTTGTTTCAGACCACAAATGTAAGCTACAGTGAGACAGGGTGGAGCACAATAGCTTTTAGATCTGCACCTAGCAGCTGAAAGAGCAAACAGCCTTGATGCAAGGGGGAAGATATCCAAACAACACTTCACTTCACAACAACTAAAATATCATTCTTGCTGAGGTAATCACCCTATTAACCCGCATCGCCTCCAGCACACTGCATTATCAGAGCTTGAAATAACAGCAGGAAGAATAACAAAAATAGAGGCAAAATACTGACAGTTCAATAGATATTTCGCATGTTACTCTGATGTCAGCTGGTAGAAAGCTACGAGGAAACAATGAAGGGTGCCTGAAGCAGTGCATTATACTAAGGCAATCTGAAAAAAAAAAATCTAACTACCAGAAATTGTATTTCAGCTGTATTGCAGAAGGGCTTGCTCACTCTTCAGCAGTTGTGTATGATGAGTTGTAATAAAAGAGCAAAAACTGTACCAAAGGTTATACATGACTAGCATCCTAACACTTTGCATCCTGTCTTCAGACTCAGAAGGCACATCAGATGGCAATGAATTGAACTCAATATTCTCATATACCTAGCACTGTCTTTAGTTAAAATGTGAAAACCAAGGCACAGGTGTTCAGCTACTTCTCTAAGGTGGTATAAGAGCTTGATGCTCTGTCATCGGGGGGGGGGCGGAAGATAAGATTGACAGCCCTGAACATGAATTAAGAGTTAATCACAAAGTCAGAAAAAGCACAGTATAGATATATATGAACTGCAAACGGTGGATTCACACACTCATTAGAAGCAAGATCAGTAAAACATTAAGAGAAATACTGCTCTGTACACATCAGTTTTACTCCAGCCTGCTGAGCGGTGGGGTGGAGGATCAGCCTATCTATGGCTTGTATCTGAAGAGGAGGCGAGTACTCAGAAAACACAGGAGGAGGGGAAGAAGGCATGGCAGTTAAGAAGTGAGCAGCAGAACTTGCTCAAAACACCAGGATTTCTTTGTTTTGGAAGTAGACTGCTGAATCAAGAGAAAAGAAAAAAGCCTAGCACACAGGGAGACCAAAGGTGTACAAATGAACTTCAACCAGTAGCAGATGTTTTAAAATAAGTGAACACGTGTCTGACGCACACATTTGCTAGAGCGGTTGTTCTTTTCCAGCCACCCCATACTTGTGCTCTTTTGTGCAGGCATGCCTACAGGCACAGCAGCACCCTCGGGACACCTCCGAGGAAGGGAGCGCCTCTTGTCTTGAGTCAGGGGACACAGCAGAGCATGACCCCTGGCACTCAGACAGACAAGTCACCTGCTGGGCGGTGGGCTGCAGGGCTGGCAGTGCAACTGGCCCAAACGCGTCATCGACACAAGATGGCTTTGCTCCCACTTGTGTTCTCTTCAGAAATCAGATAATATGTAGGGGTTTGTGTCACAGAAAAGCCCCCACTCCTCTTCCTTGCTTAAGTACCAAATCAATTTGGTACTTAGAAAGTTTTTTGTAAGTAATTTTTGTAAGTAATAGTTGCAAGATTAAACTTGCAACCTTAATGAAGGGCTTCTCTTGTGAGCAAGTCACTTACCACTTCCTGCAACCTGGCTGCTCCCAGGCCGGAGAGGAAGGAAGCCAAATGACAGTGGGACATTTGAGGTACAAGGTGTTCAAGAAATAAAACTATTTTGCACATTTGCAACAAAAAGTTGTACTTCACCGAAATCTTACAGAGCCAAGTGTAAGCCTGGCTTGGCATAGATGTAATTCTCAAATTGTAACCCAGAAGCCTTACAGTGGAGCATATAAAGTTTCCTATTTACTGTAAAAATTCAGTTAGAGTCTCTGAAGAGGAAAAAACCAGCATAAGATATTATTAAATAACTTGACACTACTGTATAACATCATTGATAAGTACAGTCATTTTTAATAAGTGACTGTATGAACTAGTTGAATATTACAGCACTAAAGAATCAGGGGAATGGCTAATTCCACAATGGAAAAAAATTTGTTTTCTAAAAATCAATATGCTAAAGTAACAGTTGTTTGTTACTTATATGCTTATAAAAATAAGATACCTTAGTTA